TTAAAGTGTTTTAAAGTCAAAAGCCAAATGGACAGCCTGAAAAAATATTCCTGACATATGCTAAAGAGTTAATTTACTTAACATTTTAGGTGTACTTGCAAATCAAAAAGACTAATAATTCATTAAAAGCAGCCAAAATATATGAAGACATTTCTCCAAAAAGAATACATATACAAAGATATGAGGCTTTGCTCATTAAAAAAAATATAAAGTAGATCAATAATTCATTTTTTTTCACTTGTCAGATCCAGGATAGTTGATGTAATAGTGTTGGCAAGGCAGTGGACAAAAAAGTCATTTTTACACATTATTGGTAAGCAGGAGATTTGGTATAACACCTTTGGAGGGCTAGTTTACAATATCTGTTAAATTGGAAAATTCCAATATTCTTTGTCCTAGCAGTTCTACTTTTATAAAGTTAGCCTACAAACATGTACACAAAAGCTAACCAGGGATCTTTGTGGTAATATGGTAGGTAATAGCATATAATTGACCATCTTTGAGAAGTCCGTCAATAGGCTAAATATTTTATGGTACATTTATCCAATGAAATGAAAAGGAGCTTTGAAATAATCAGATGGATCTCTAAGTGATGGTGTGAATTGACAGAGACAATATAATTATGTCTCTTGCCTTCTGGGAGTGGAACTAGAAATTTGAATGGAAGAAGACAATTTTTATTGCAAAATTGTACTTTTCTATCATTTGTAATTTTTAGTTTTCAGTGGACCAGACATCATACTTCTGGTTTCTAGCATCTCATCTTCAAAAGCACCTGCGAGTCAGGTATACTTAGCTCCATTTTTACAGATGGGGACATAGTGATTGGGAAAGATTGAGAACCTTATCTTAGGTCACACAGCTGGTGTCCTTATTCCATCATCAATAGAAAAACAAGAAGTACAGTTCTCAATAGTCTCACATACGTTTGTGATTCGGTACTTACTAAGGCTGGGGTCATTTTTCTTTTAGGAAAAAATAAAATATTTTCCAAATATTTTTACCTCAAAAATAGAAAAAAAAAAAGAATTTTCTGCTTTCTTTCTAGAATGCTCTTCTCCCAAATTCTAAGTGTCAAGGTGTTATAACAAACTCTAAGACGGGTTTCCCCTTTTCTTTCCTTCAACTGTGTTGCACAGTCTTGAGACTGGGGAGATGGTAAGAGAAGTAAAACAAAGGAGATAATAGCATCGGCACTGGATTCCACAATCAGCACGTTTACGGTAGGGAAAGACTTGGGAAAATCTGACTTGACTCATGTGATGCTAAAAAGAGAGATGAAGAAATCCCACGTTGCTTTCCCCAATTCTGCTACACAATAAGAACAACATTAAGAAGATTATAAAAATAGTGGTTAAGACCCTGGATCCCGAATCAGAAAGGTATATACTGATTTTAGGTGAATGCAACTGAGCAGCCCCAGGTGGGTTGACTCTGCACACGCCTCCACTCAACTGTTGGGTGTGGCTTTGCAGCAACAGTCAACAGTTGTCCCCTCAGTTATCTTACTTTCCATGTGACTCTAACAAATTTGAGGCTGCCAGTGAGCTGAGTGTGATCTAGAGTTTAAACTTTTCCTACAGTAGCCCCTCAATGCAATTCAGGAGCCTCAGTGGGCGCTCACACAAGGGAAACAAAACCGTGTTGGACTTTTTGAAAGACTCTCTTGGTTTTCAAAGGGGTGCCTTCCTAGAGGATTTACCTGTGTAGTTTTGACTAAACAAGGTTTTGCCTTGCTTTCTGTCTTTAAAACCTAACTCCAAGATAAATTAGTTGCTATGCTAATCATAACCATGGCCAATTATTTAGTCTCTCTGAGTCTAAGCCCCGCTATCTGTATATGCATAAGGTTGTTGTGAGGATAAAATGAGACTTAAAAATGAAATGTGCACCAACCCAAACTTAGGCAGATCCCTCATGCATATAGAATTTCTACGTCTGCTTAAATTAGTGGAGAATGTGAACTTACCCAAAAGAAAAACTCTAAAATAAGTCTTTAGATACTTAGTTTTAAAAATATTCCAGGTGACCTCGTAATATTAGGACCCATTCAACTTTGTCTATTAACCCGACACACCTCCAGGCAACCTTAAGGATACTGTACTGGCATGATGATTGCTAAGACTGGGATGAGAAGACCTCTGAAAGCAACACTCTGAAGCAGATAAGGAAGGTATCAAAGCCTGCCCCACTTTTGCCGTTTCTTTTTCTGCAGGCCGCTTACCCTGGCCCAGCCCCCTCAGTAAGTGAGAACCAGGCTCTGTCTCTCCCCACACTCAACTGCTACCTTCAAGGCCCCACAAAGTCCCAAGGGGTCTAACAGTGTCTCCAGAAGGCCTTTATGTCCTCTTGGCACCAGAGCTTATCCAAGAACCAGAAGGAAAGTTTTAGAACATGATACAAGGACAAGACACAAGGAATAAATGCAACAACGGTCAACTTTGCTTTAGAGATTGGTGAAAACACTGTAAGAACACCACGCCGTAGACTATGAAAACTCCAAATGTGTAGAAATGACACTGATGGCTGCCACTTACCTCCATGTTGCCTGATAGTATCCATGAGCTATGATAGCAGCTTAAGGGGGTATTTGCTGGGAGCTCTGAATTATGCTGTTTCCTGGGCAGTGGTTCTAGTAAAACTAGTCAGTTCCAGTTCATTGTCTAAGTACTTTACATACGTTAACTCATTTCATCTTCCTATAAATCCTGTGAGGTAGATATTATTTTCATCCTCATTTTATAGATTGAAAAAACAGAGCATAGAAATAAAGTGCCAAGATCACACAATTAATTGTAGGACCTGGGATTTGAGTCAGGTAGACTGTCTCCAGAGGCTGTGCTCTTAATCTCAGGCTGGCCAACTTTTCTGTGAGGGGCCAACTGGTATATATTATAGGTTATTAGACAGTCTCTGTTGCATATTACTTTTTTTTTTACAATCCTTTAAAAATGTAAAAACCAATCTTAGCTCATATGTGGTACAAAAAGAGGCTGTGGGCTATCTGTATTCTGATGATTAATACTGTACATGTTGCTCAAAGCTTTAGGTACACAGTGGGTGTGCTATACCATATTCCTTTTAGACAAATACCATATGCCTATAATACAATTAAATTTTTGTTGATAAAATAATCCACAGTTCTGACTTCATTTCTCTCTCATTTTTGTCTGATACTAACTACTGATGCTGTTGCCTTCCTACTCACTAGTGATGTTTTTATTGGATATTTAAGAAGGGACTATAAGGATGAAATAAGAGTTTCTCTTCCAGTCACTTTCAATCTGTCCTTGGCTTTCTCCCCAGTTTATATTATCATTTATGAAAGTGACTTTAGGCAGTCTGATATTGGACTGGAGTGTGTTCTTTCTTGGATTGACTAAAAATAAAGGCATAAATAAGATGCATTATCTCTTAAACTTTAGGCCTGTCACTTTTCTGGGACCTGACCTGACATTAATTAAGGCAGTTCTGCTAGTAGAAGTTTATCAGTAACCTGGCATCTAATCCTTCATCATTTTCATTAAAGCTTAAAATGGCTTATAAAGAGACATGGTTCATAAAGTGGATTCATATCACGATGGAACTTCGTGCTTCGTAGGTCCCTGTTGTGTGTTCCCATAATGTCGCCACAGCCTTCTAGGCTAGGCTGCTAGTGGAGAAATCACAGTGTGTTATTGGATTTGCTCAAGATAAAATCTTAGACTTGCAAATAAATCCTGGTCATTTTTTGAACACTTCCGTGGTACATAATATATAACTCAGCCTCAGGTAATGAGTGTGAGGAAATCATTGCTTTGGTTTTTGTCACTTTGAAACCTAAGAGAAAGCTTATGAAAGTATTTTTCAAGTTATTTTGACCACAACCCACAGTAAAAAAAAAAAAAAAAAAATTATATCACGATCCACTCTATCTACACATATATATAAAACAGAAACAAATCTTTCAGCGGCAATACTATGCTTACTACATTTGAGGCATTTCCAATATTTTCTAATCGGTTCTATTCCATTTAAATATTTAATGCCTCTCATTACCACTAAATTTACTTCATAATGTATTAATGGGTCTTGACTCAATTTGAAAAACACTTCCTTAGAAGACCCAAATGCTCTCACTGTTCATATTTACAAAAAGTGATTGTTTTGGGATTCGTGTGTATGCTTATGGCTTAGGTTGATTTATTTGCTGAGAACCAACCATGTGTAAATCACTGTGCTAGGCTCTGTGGGAAGTGCAAAAAGTTTTGCTTTCAACTGCCTCAAGCCAGGAATTTTCTGAGTTGCTAGGGAAACCAGAATGAGCAGAACGACATATCATCACTACCCTCATAGAACTTAGGATCTAGAGGATGAGAGAAACTCAGAACTCAAGGAGTTCTGGAAGATAAGTCATTCACTTGACTATGTTACCTAAGTAAATAGGTTTATTGGCAATTTCTAGGTGAAAGGTCTTTTCTTCTTATCAAGAAGAGTCAATCCTGTTTTTTCGGATGAGAAAATAGTCTCAGAGAGTCTGTCATTTATTAGAAGTCACATGGTTATTTTGAGTCTAAATCTAGGGCTATTTGTAATATACATGCTGCCTCTCATGATTACATGGGTTTCGTGTTAGAAATAAAGTGATTTGGGAGTTCAGAAGAGGAAGTGATGATTAAGCCATATTATAAAAATGTTTCGAGGGACCAGCCTGGTAGCGTCGTGGTTGAGTTCATGCTCTCTGCTTAGGCATCCTGGAGTTTGGATCCTGGGTGCGGACCTAGCACCACTTGTCAAGCTGTGCTGTGGTGGCATCCCACATAAAATAGAGGCAGATTGGCACAGATGTTAGCTCAGCAACAATCTTCCTCAAGCAAAAAGAGGAAGATTGACAACAGATGTTATCTCAGGGCCAATGTTCCTCACACACGCACACAAAAATGTTTCGGCCCTCAGACAGCTTGGAAAGACCTTAAGCGATCCCTTTACTTATCTCTTTTCTTCAGGAGGAGCTAATGATTCTTGAAAAAAAGAGATAAAATAAGTCTTTTTAAAGAGAAGAGTGGTACCTTCAAGTGTTTCACAATCTTTTTCTGAATAAACTCTTCAAATCCTTCATTTGGAATTTTACTCATCTAAATCCCTATTTCAAAAACCAGGAAACAAAGTGGAACATTTTCTCAAGATCATCAGGGCAAGAAACCAAAGATTGTCACCGGTCTGAGAGAATCCATACTTTGTTCTTCTCATCACCAAGCATTTCATGAGCACAGACCCAAGAGACCACGCTACATATAAAATAAACATCTGCTGCTTCTGCCTTCCGGGAGCTGAAGTTTTAAATGGCAGATCTCAAAGCTCATCTCACCTCAAAGCGCCATTCAGTGGACCTCCATACACCTGTTCATGCTAATCTGTTAGGTATTCGTGCCTTAGGGATTGGCGTATTTTATAAACTTATGAGTGTAATAGTGTCCTACTTGGGAAAACTGAAATCATTCAGATACAAAAGAGTGGTTGCTGTGAGGAGAAGATTTTTAAAGCACAAATCCTTAGTAGAGCCATATGTATGGAGGACCAGATCTCTCTGTAATCGTCTGTGTTTAGAGATGTGCCTCCTGGCCTTGCCACCTATGTAAGATCCCTTGTTATGTGCTCTTAGAGCCTCATAACTTCTCTCCTTCTTGACATTCAGCAGGAATTTTAATTGTCCATTTATTTTGTGACTATTTAATCCATTAGGGTCTCTCTCTGTATGGAGCCCTCACTAGACTATTTTCACTGTATTGTTACTATATCCTTCAGTACTATGCATGGTGATTAATGCATAAATAAGTGTGTAAGAAATACTTATTGGATGAATGAATGGGCATTTTAAGGTAGTCTGGAAAGTTGTTTTAAACAAGGTACTTTGGTTTAGCCCAATCCTTATTTATTATTTATTAGCTACTAAAGAGCAACTGATAATCACTCACGATGTTCTTTCTGTTTGTTTTACAGTCAACTTTGACCACTTTGAAATTTTGCGGGCCATTGGGAAAGGCAGTTTTGGGAAGGTGAGAACCAAAGTGATTAACCACCAACAGGGTTATATAGCTCAGGGATCAGAGTCTGAGAATGTTCTGAGGACTGAGTTACTGGGACCACACGGAATGACATTTCGGAGGTGTTTTTATAATAGATTTTTATAAAATTGTCACCACACTGTGAGGAAAGTATGTGACAGGCAGCTACATAATGAATATATACTGTTCTCAGAATTATCTCAAAGTCAAATCCATTTACTGTCAGTAGAGTTTAACTTCCTCCCTTCAGGAGAGAGTAACATTTCAGAATCATTTTCAGATTGTACCAGCTGTACCTTCAGGAGCAGTTATGTCGTTAATGTAAGAGTTAAATCTTTTCCTGTGGGAAAGAGGCCACCTAATTTATTTTCTTTTCCCGGTTGTATCATGGTTTCATTTTCAAAAAGCTACCATGAAAAATATACAGATTCAGTCTGATTTTTTTGTACAAGCCTTCTAGATTCAAACCCTGGTTATTAGTTTCTTGGTGGAGACATACTTTGAGAGAATATTCCATATTTAACTTGTATTTTATTTTATTTTGTTTTTTTAAGACTGGCACCTGAGCTAATATCCATTGCCAATCTTTTTTTTTCTTTTCTTCTCCCCAAAGCCCCCCAGTATGGTTGTATATTCTAGTTGTGAGTGCCTCTGGTTGTGCTATGTGGGACGCCACCTCAGCATGGCCTGATGAGTGGTGCCGTGTCCACACCCAGGATCTGAACCAGCAAAACCCGGGCCACCGAAGCAGAGCACACGGAACCCAATCACTCGGCCAGGGGGCTGGGCCCCTGAACTTGTATTTTAAAGCCATCTGCTGTCTACTTTATCAGGCATTATATGAACCTCTAAAAATTTTTTTAAACTATGGACATTGGGCTTAAAATCCTTTTTGGTTATATCACCACCTATGGTTATACAGAAATTCTTTGCACAGTATTGTTCAGCTTGACAGTTTAGCCATGTCCATTTCAGTCGTGCAAAGAAGCATAGGATGTGAATCGCTATTGAAAGATTCCTGACAAGGAGGCAGCTATGTTCTCTAAAATGCTTTCTTAGAAAAACCCCAAAAGCGAAAACCAGCAAACTTGTTTGAGGAAGCAGATTTAGGAATTGACCTGGTGCAGGGGGAAAAAATTGTTTTTTTTGCTCTGAAATCGGAGCTAAGTGGCAACTTTAGCATCATAGAATTTGCAAGTGATAAGTCCTCCAAGCCATGCTAAAGTGCTAAAGAGCAAGTCTTGTTCTGTCTCTCATCTCCATGATCTGTCATCTCCCTAATCACTTTGTCATTCTGGTTTGCACCATTAGGTCTGCATCGTACAGAAGAATGATACCAAGAAGATGTATGCGATGAAGTACATGAACAAACAAAAGTGTGTAGAGCGCAACGAAGTGAGAAATGTCTTCAAGGAGCTCCAGATCATGCAGGGTCTGGAGCATCCTTTCTTGGTTAATTTGTGGTAAGTGTTTTTATTGGACCTCTGAATGGAGACACTCCCACCTTCACCTTCAGATACTGTTGCATAAATGCATCTTGATTTCCAGGTGTGCATTTGCAAAATCCTCATTAGGCTCTTCCTCCAGGGCTTTTGTTCTTCTTGGTTTCTTTGACTTTATGAAACAAAATTGTTTTGCTGTCACCAATAAATACTGCATGGTTCAGTTGTCATAGTTCCCCTCGTTTTTAGGTCAATAGTTTTTTAAAGCATTGTAATTAAGTAGGCTGATAAGGAATGAGTTTAGATGTCTTCTCACTCATTAGATACTTTTCCCCCATTAACTGTGGGCCAGAGACTTGAGGTACGAAGTATGGCATCACTGGCTGACGTGAGGTTGATCTTTAGAACTCATACAAAACACCTTCTCCTTAAAATGACTGGCAATAAAACTGGTTTCCTGGCAGCATACTTCTTAAGCAGCCATATATATGCCTGTGAGTTGAAAAAGGAGAGGTGTTGCCTTTCTCAGCAAATAGATTTTAACAGAGCTGGAGCTAGCTTATGTCAGGGGCTAGACATTAAGTAACTGCGATCTGCTCTCAAAGCTGTTATCATAATCCAAGGCTTAGAAAATAGCGAAGAAACTGGCATTATCTGTTACTTCCTGCTCTTTTCTTGTGCATGGAGGTCTTTATGTGGCTCACCCATTTTGCTCTACTTTTTAATGTATCCATTATGTTAAGAGCCAGTTCTTAAAGCTAATTCAGTATGACTGTTATTTAAATATGCATACCAAGCAGTTCTTACTAGCAAAGGCAAGGAAAAAAAGTCTTTATTCAGAGAATACTAATGGAAAAATAATTGAAATGTCTCTGTGTGTTTAGGGACATTTCTCTGGAGGAATCAGTGCATAAAACCTGTCTCTCCATTTTTAATTAATACAGTTCACTTAGGATACAATTTGTTCAAGGATTCTACCCGTAGTTGAAAGGAAGATGATTCTTTGTGACTTGGAAATAGGTCTATTATGGTTTATGCACCACTCAAATGTGGTGGAGTCTAATTTTGGCTCAGGCTTAGTGTATTTAATCAGTATTTTAGAGTGGCCTATTCAAAATGCTGCCACGTAAAGAGTTAAATGGATGCAGCTCTTTCTTCCCCAGCCTTAGCAATCATCAAATTGCTTTTTCCCCCCGTCTCCCTCCACCCTGAGAATGACAGGTTGCTCTCACTTCACAGTCTCCCTTTGTTCAAAGTCACATTTTCCTGCTTTGAAAGTTCAACCAACTAATTTTCTCCTTTAAGAACAGGAACCTTTCCTGAGGACATACTTAGCATTTTGCCTTTTCGTGCTTGTCTGTTATCGCAGAGTAGGCAAAGTTGATTTCATTCTATTCCTATTTTTTTTTATAACATGGGTGTTAGGAGACTTTAAGTGGGCCAAAGTTTACCGATTTTGCGTTGCTAACTTAGTGTCATTCCAGGCAACACTCTGGATGCACGCTGGCTTGGTGATAACATGACATATGCCTTATTCTTCCCTTCTCACACTGAATCTCACAGTATAACATTTGCCGCTGTTAATATTGACAGAGGAGAAGGAAGAGTGCCCATCCCCCATGATTCTGACCCAACATTCAGAACTGGAAGCCGGGAGGGGGCATTCCTCCAAGCACAGCAGAAAATCCTTTTGTCTTTCAAACCTCGAGCTAAAATCTTCAGAAACTGTATTTATTTCTTCTAATAAATGCTTTCCACTTTAGTAAGTAGAGCACAGCAAATGTAAGTCACTCTTTCCACAACTGTTAAGCACGTCGCCATGCTTCTGGAGGTGTGATTGTGAGTAGTTTACTTTATCATTTTTAAGTCACGTTGTTATGAGATAGGGTTCATGTGTGTAACTTGGGTTGTTTTGATCAGTGAAATGAGATAGAGTGCTACGCCCAGTGCCTAGGACATTATAAGCATCTTACAAATGGTAGTTCTCTTCCTTCCTTGCTCCATTTAGGTGTAGCATTCTGAACGTGCCTATCACTGAGGACCAGTGTGGGCATCCAAAAGGCAAATTTGGATGGTGTTTGGCCCCAAGCATCATGGGATGTTGTGTGGCAGGGGAAGGGGGACAGGTCTTCAACTCATTGTCTGTAAGAGCTTATGATGTCTGTTTTGTTTTGCACCCTCATTCTTCAAATCAAAGAAAAAAAAAATCAAAGGTTCCTCAATTTATTATATACAATTTAACCAAGATTTTGTGTCCTTGGTTTAACTGGACTTATTTTTACAGCCCCAAAATTTCAAGAGCCAGTTTTCTTAAGATGCATTGTATGATTAATAAAATAACACGATACTTTTTTTTTTAACTCTTGTCCCCTGTTTACTATTTTACTGATATGCTTTGTAGGCCTCTCACTACTGCTTTCAGTAATCTTCTAGGATGCTCAATATGCCCCTAGCCTATGGGGATGTATTCAGAAAACTGGTTTGCAGGCTGAGGGAAAACACAAATTGTTTCTCTTTTGAGTAGGTTTTGCACTAGTATTAAGAAGTTTGTGTTTGTGTGTATGGGTGTGAATATATACATATATCTGATTTTGAAAACTTTTCTGTTGCAGTCAACTTGTAAAACATAGAAAATCATATAGAAAAATGAAAATTCTCCAATAATCCTATCACCTTGAAACAACCACTCCTAACATGTTGGTGTGGACTTTCCAGTAAAATGTCTGCGTCTGGTTTTCTGTTGTTGATCATGCATTAGCCCCATTCATCACTTCCTTTAGGTGTATAACACACTAGTTATAATTAGGGTTGCCAGATAAGACACAGGATGCACAGTTAGATTTGAATTTCAAATAACCAATAATTTTTAGTATACGTCCCAAGTATCACATGGGACGGATTTTAACTGAAAATTATTCCTTATCTAAATTTCCAATTTAAGTGGGCGTCTTGTAATTTTATTTGCTAGATCTAGCAAGCTTAATTTGTAGCAGAGACCCATAAGGTGGGTCACGCAATGGTGAGCAGGAGTGGACAGAGCTCTGATTGCCTGACATTTTCATTAACCGTGGGAGGCTGACAGTAGTCAAACGGCACATTTATATAGAAACTGTGAAAAGTGCATGAAGGGACTAAGTATGAAGAAGGGTGTGTGTGCATGTGTGTGTGCATGTGTGTGTGTGTTGAGGGGATTTGGGGAAGGACGTTCCCTAGTCTGGGGGCAGCAGAGTTGAGGGTGAAAGAACATTCTGAATTAAAATTCAGCCTTCCCAGCCTCCACAGACCTGGCCCTCCTCAGGAACACAGTCGTCAGATGTAGGCCAAGTTATAAAGTGAAGGCTGCCTGACAGGGCTGGCTGGCATCCAGGCAAAGCAAATAAAATCTTCCTGCGAGTGCCTCCCTGCGGGCTGCTCACAGAGCCTTGGCAACCCACAGCCCGCAAACAGCCCAGCCAGCCCTGCCTGGCGCGGCGCTTCCCCGGGGGCTGCTGTTAATTGAGATTAAGCCTGCAGCTGCACACAGCTCCTCAGGGCCCTGCTCTCTCCTCACCCGGGTCTCTTGTTGCTGTGAACAGAAAAGGGTCCACGTGTGGTTTCAGGAAATTTGGAGACAAGATCATCTGTTTTAAGTGAAAAGGACCGCTTGTACCAGGAGTGTGAAAAGGGTCACATTCCCTGTCAGATGGCTGAACTCGCTGAATACAATGGGTTCCCCGGAAGCCAGCTCCATCATCTGTGACTCAGAGGGCCAGTGTTTCTTCAGGGAACTGCAGACGATGAGAACTCAGGGCAGCCTTCAGAGCCACAGCATCAATAACAATAGCTTCCCTGTCAATGGGGTTCTGTTACTTTGAGTATTACATATATTATCTCATTTATTCATCCTAACAACTTAGGTTGATAGGGACTATAATTCCCATTTTACACCTGAAGAAACTTAGGCTCAAAGAGGTTAAGTCATTTTCCCAGAGTCTCACAGCCAGGAACTGGCAGAGCCAGGACTGAAACCCAGGAATCCTGACTTCAAAGCCCCTGCTCTTCCTGCTATACTACACCATCCCCTAAGGACATCTTGTGAGACTCCCTTAACAAAATACGGAAGGAATCAATTTATTTCATTTATTGTCTTTGACATCCTACAAGAATACAAACTCCATGAGGCAGGTGTGTTTGTATGTTTTGTTCACTGCTTCATTCCCCAGCTCCTCTCATTTCACAGTAAGTGCTCAATAAATATCTGTTGAATGAATGAAGTGAGTTGGTGGGACCAGGTTTCTGGCTCCTGGGTTTTTCTTTTCCCATCATGCCACTGCCACCTCTTGCACACTCACAAACATCCTCTCATATAATCACACCCATTGCAGGTTCTTTGCAAGCCCTGAGGTCAGAGGGACCCAGGTTGAACCCTTGCTCCACCACTGGGTAACTATGTGCACTGAGCAAATTACATGCTGTATTTTGCTTGGTTTCCTCATCCATAATTGGGAGTAACAGCAATATCCGTGGCAGAAGGTCCTGCTGTGAATAAGAATCTGTATCTAAAACGCTTCACACATAATAGGTGCTTAATAAATGATGAAACAAACAACTCAGTGAGGCCCCTCCCAAAATGGAATGTCCCTCAGCCCCCATCACCAGAGGAGATTCTTAAGTGGACAAGTATACCTGAGCTTGAGCTGGCCTGGGCCTTAGAAAGTCTTTTCTTCTAAATTTTTTAAAACTTAAATAATTTTTTGAATATAAAATAATCTATATTTTGTATAAAGTATGGAAATACAAAAAGTTCTCGTGAAAATAATAAATGCCCATCCATCACCCAGAAATAACTGCTGTGTTAGTTTCCTATTGCTGCTGTTACAAATCACCGCAAACTTAGTGGCTTAAAGCAACATGAATTGGAGTACTTGAGGCTAAAGCTATTTTCATAATATAATTGACATTATTTTCCTTTTGCCCTGCATTGTTATTTGCACCGAAAGTTCACCAACAGCCAAAACTAGTCAGAACAATGATTACCTATG